CACAAGCAGCTGAACTAGAAAAGCTCATACTTCATGTAGAATTGTGTAGAGTACTCATAAGGATCTTGCCTCAAAGGTGGGGGATAATTAGACCTAGACTAAACACTGCTTTGGCTCTATCTGACAAATCTTTAATGTAAAACCTGAAAGGACTGAACTCTTTCCAAGTAACCTAACTGTATCTCAGAACAAAGCCCAGGGACAAGTATACATTTAAATTCATAATGTCTAGCATCCAATAAAAAATTACCTGGCACGTAAAAAAGCAAGAAAATGTAACCTATAATGAGGAGGAAAGTCAATTAATTAAAACCAACCAGAACTGGACACAAATGTTAGACGTAGTGGAGACATTTAGATAGTTACTATAACTGTAACCCATATGTTCAAAAAGTTAGTATATTGACAAAGAAGATGCAAAAAAGATCCAAATTGAATACTTAGAGAGGAAAACTACAAATGCTTGATGTGAAAGACACACTGGATGGGACTAAGAACTCAGATTAGCACTGGAGAGGAAAAGATTAGTGAATTTAAGATACAGCAATAGAAACTAACCAAAGTGAAATATACAGGAAAAAAATAATAAAAAAGAAAATGAAAAGAACGTCAGTGAGCAGTAGGACAACTTCATGCTGCCTATTATACCTATAATTGGAGTTGCCAGAAGAGAGGATATAAAAGGGAGATATTTTTTAAAAACCTGAAGAAATATTGGCTTAAAATACTTGAAACATGATAAAAGCTATTAGGTCACAGACTCAAAAAGATTAACAAACCCCAGGCACAAGAAACACAAAGAAAACCACTCTAAGCCAAATAATAAAATTACTGAAAACAAGTGATAAAGAGAAAACCATAAAAGCAACCAATGGAAAAGACACCTTACATAAAGAAAAAAAAAAAAAAAAGACTAGGGCACTAGCAGATTTCTAGTCATAAACAATGCAAGCAAGAAGATAGTGAAGCAACATCTTTAAAGTAATGAAAAAAATAAGCTGTCAACCTAGAATTCAATATCCAGTGAAAGTATCTTTCAAGAACTAATGCAAATAAATAGTTTAGACATTCAAAAGCAAGAAGAATTCATGCCTGCAGAGCCACACTACAAGGTTTGTTGAAGAAGTCTTTCAGGCAGAGGAAAATGATACCAGATGGAAATAAAAAATTTCACAAAAGAATAAAGAGCAGTGAAAATGATAGCTATATGGATAAACATGTAAGATTTTATTGTTATTATTTAAATCTCTTTAAAAATAGTTATATTTAAGAGAAAAACTTTGCCATGTAAAGTTTATAATATATGTGGAAATGAAATGTATGGCAGAGATAGCATAAAGGCTACTAGGAATTAAATGAAATATACTATGGAGAGGTTGCTTCCTGTAATATAATGATGTAGTATAAAATCACTTAAAAGTAAAATGTGATAATTTAGTGATGTATACTATAAGTCCTGAAACAAACACCAAAATGGCAAAACAAAGAATTATAGTTCATAAGCCAATAAAAGAGAGAAAATGGAGAAAAATGTTCAATTAATTTAAAAGAAAGCAAGATGAAGAGGAAATAAAAGCCAAGAACATATGGGATGAATAGAAATCAATCTGTAAGGTGGTATACTTATATCTAACCATATCAATAATCTCATTAATGTAAATGGTCTAAACACCCAATAAAAAGGGATTGTTAAAATGGATTTAAAAAAAAGCAATCCCTACTATCATTGCCTACACAAAATTCACTTTAAATATACAGACACAAATAGATTAAGACAAAGATATGGGGAAAGCTAAACTGCTATGACTAATCAAAAGAAAGCTGGAGTGGCTATACCAATATGATACTAAGTAGATTTCAGAACAAAGACTATTGCCAGGGATAAAGAATGTAATTTCATATGATAATCAATCGAGAGGCTGTAGCATAATTTAGAATCAGAATATAAGCTGTTGATTAGGTAATAGTATTGTATAGATGTTAACTTTCCTAACTGATAACTATTCCATGCTTATAAAAGAGAATTTCCTTATTCTTCGAAAATTGCTAATTATGAAGAAGTAAACAGGCACAATTTTATGCAACTTACTATCAAATAAGACAGAGATAAAGCAATATAACAAAACTTTAACCATAAATAGATCTGCTTAAGCATACTTAGAAAATCATGTACTATTATTATAACTTTTCTACAAAATTTACAACCAACACAAAATAAATGTTAAAAAATTATATTCACATCACTCCCATAGAAGTCCCTATTCAAAATAAGCATCCCAATGTCTTTATTTCAAAGTACTTCTTAAGTTCTAATATGAAATATTTATTAAAGTTTATTATGAATCTGCCTCCAAAAAAAATACAAGCTCTCAGGAACAGAAATCTGCTATTTTGTACAGTGAGATAATCCTGCATTTCTAGAACTATACCTAGCACTTAGTAGATGTCAGAATTAATTTACTTGAATGAGAGAATAAATATCCAATAAACAACTGGATAAAACAGGCTCTAGAGTCAGATGATCTGTGTCCAAATCCTTATTCTTAGTGTTACTGGATGCAACATGGGCAAGTAACTAAGCTTCTCAGAAACTTAGCTCCTAACGAGTAGTTACCTATAAGAGAAATAGAGAGTGTGAAATCAGCAAAAATGGTGGAGTATGGAACTCCAAAAGTCTGTTCTTCCACAAGAGCAATGAATAAACTGACAAAAAAAAACAAAAAAACAAAAAACCTGTGAGAATCAACATTTACAGGACTCTGGAATCTAATCAATATCATACAGCAAGCACAGGAATGATCAACTGAGAAAAACACATATGAGACTCAATGAAATGTGACATTTAACCTACCTGGTACTATCTCCCACTCCCCAGGTTGGCGGTGGCCTGACAACAGCAGCCGGTACATACCTGGCACCAGAAGGAACAGAACAGACCCAGTTCCAAACAACTATAGTTTTTGTTTTGACCTGTCTGGTGGCTTCTTGAAGAACTGTCTCAAAAAGCTTGTTCTATTTCACCTAACTCAGAACTATCCCAGGGTTGAAGCAGCTACCCAGGGAGAATTAGTCAAAAATACTTAAAATCAAGTGTGTTAGCTGCTGCTTCCTCAGGCAAGGACTAACAGCTAGGGGAAACAATAGTCTAAACTAAAAAGCCTGGGAAGGAAAGGCTGGAAAATGAAATTCTTTAAAGAAAGAAATAGAAATTCTTTTAAGAATAAGTATTTTGGAATGCTGCCACATATCTCTGGGAATCTAGAAGGCAATACACACACACAGGGCTGGGAACATGCTCAGAAAACACTTGAGGAGGCCCTAAGCTCTTGTCCCTGGCTGATCTCTGGGCTCTGCACAAGCAGGAAGTGAAGGCTAAGGTAAAGTTGTAAAATGTCTGGCTGAGTATTGAATGCATGTCCCAACGCGTGCACGCGCGCGCGCGCACACACACACACACCACACCACCCAGTAAAACTAGGAGGGTTTTTGTTTTTGTTTTTGTTTTGTTTTAGTTCCAAGTATCTAAGGAAATTTCTGTGAAATCACTAGCTGACCATAAATCTAACAGAAAAGACTTTAATGATCACACATTATGAAGGATACAAACTATACAAAACCAGTCGAAAAAAGTAATGAAATAAACAACAACAAGGAAAATGCAAATCAAAACCACAATGCGATACCACATCACACCTACTAGAATGGCTATAACCTTTTTTTTAAAAGATGAAAATAACAAGCATTGATAAGGAGAAACCAGAACCTTCATATGTTGTTGGTAGGAATGTAAAATGGTATAGCCACTGTGGAAAGCATTTTGGCAGTTCCTCAAAAAGTTAAACACAGAATTGTTACATGACCCAACAATTCCATTCCTAGGTATATATAAAAAAAAAAAAAATTAGAAACAAAAATGTGCCCACAAATGTTGATAGTGGAATTATTCATAATAACAGAAAAGGAGAAACAACCCAAATGTCCACCAATGTGAATGGATAAACAAAATAAGGTACATGTATGCAATGGAATGTTATTTGGCCTTAAAAAGAATGAAGCACTGATACATGCTCCAGCATGGAGAAACCCTGGAAACACTATGTTAGGTAAAAGAAGCCAGACACAAAAAACCACATGTTGTGTGATCTCATTTACACAGTGTCCAGAATAGACGAATCCATCAAAATGGAAAACAGATCAGTGTGTTGCTCAAGGCTAAAGAAAAGAATAGTGACGGTTTAGTATGTATGGGACTTCTTTTAAGGGGATGGGGTGACAAAACGTTCCGGAAACCAGTTGTGGTAATGGTTGCACAAGGTCATGAATATAGTAAAAGCCATCGAATTGTACACTTTAAAGTGGTTAAGGGGGTGAACTTTACGTTATGTGCACTTTTGAAAAAGGCATGTGGGATGCTCAGATATGATGATGCATTCTGAATTTTCCAGGAGGGAGTCTTTCAAGATAAGTGGCCAGTAAATATTAACACCTGAGCCGCCTCCAACTAGCCTCTAAGGCATTGTCCTCCTCTCATCGGTCAGGGTCATTCTCATCAGCTCAGCCACCCCCTCCCCTTGGCTAGACTTGATGCTAAGGGTCTGAGTGAGAACCGGGTTCCCCAGGCCCTGAAGCAGGGGAGAAAGGAAGCGGGGGACAATGGCCAAGCTTTCTTTAGGGGTTTGGGGCCCCAGGAGCTGGATGAGGCTGTCAAGCATTCTCTTTAATGAGAAGTCTTCGGTTGGTTGGAAAATGCCTGAAATAGACGTTAGGAGGGTGGGAATTGCAGCTCTGCCCCTAACTCTCGTGAGACGGCAGGCCAAGTGCCTTCTGGATGGTGCTTTCCTCCGAGGCAGGATGAAATGGCAGCGAGGACTCTGGGAGCACACAGCCTGTGATTCCACGGCCTGGTAAATATAAAGCAAAGGACACTGCCCTCGGAGACTAGACCGGGGCGGACCCCCGTTCCGGCGTGCCCGGGGCTCCCTCCCCTCCCACCTGCTCACCACTTTCACGAGAGCAGCTTTCCTCGGAAGCCAGCACAGCCCTCTCGCGTCCGCGAACGTGACCCACGACGGTCGGCGGGAGCGCGCCGGGGGAGGAGCGCGGCCTCTGATTGGAAGAGGGACGCGGGGGCGGGGATACGGGCGTGGCCAACGGCAGGAGCGCGAGCCATTGGCGGTTAATTTTCCGCAGCGCCCTGCTTAGTATCTTCAAGATGGCTGTGAGTTGACTTCGTAGCTGACAGACCGGTTTAGAAGCACCCTCCACCCCCAAGGAAGATCAGAACTCCTTTAAGGATGCAGGAAATTCCCCGAGGCCCAGGTTTTGGGGAACTGGGATCTCCCTCGCTTATCCCAGGTTGGTTACAGACGTTGCGGCCTTTGTCCCCAAGGCCACCTCTCTGTCCTGGGGACGCGGCCCCGCGCTGCCTGACTGCCGGCCGCGGGCCGCTCAAAGCCCGTGCTGAGCCCCTCCCCTTGCCGCGGACTCCCCCTCGCATTTCCGTTTACCTGTGTATTGTGTCTCCCGTGGAAGGATGCCGTCCCCCCTTCCCGAGGGGTCGCCGCCTGCAGGTGGGGGGAGAGCGCAGGATTTGGAGAAGCCAGAGGAGCCTGGTGGGGCTGCTGCCTGCGCGGCCCCCAGCCTGAGGCGCTGGGGGTGGGGGGTTTGCGGGACGTTCCTCCTCCTGCTTTTCGTCTCCCCTCCCTTTCCGCCGCGAGGGGAGGGGGCGTGGGTTGGACGGGAGTGCAGACCTTAGGCCAGGAGATCTCCTTTGCAAGGCAGGGTCTCCCTCCTACGCTGGGGGGCGGGGGGCAGTGGCGTGGGGAAGACAACACCCCGTTGCCAGCATGCCCTCTCACCTGAAACATGGCAGGATGGAAACACCGCCGAGGTCAGAGTCTCGGTAAGAAGGAGAGTGAGGGGAATATCTTTTGAAAACAAGTGGACTACAGATTACTTGTGGTTTTAACTTGTGGTTTTAACGGTGTGGGCTTTGCCCCCACTGCGGCCTTTCCGTGTATCGAGTTTCTCCTGATGTCCTTTTACTTTCACAGGACGGGCCACTGCCCATGATCGTCGGTCAAGCCATAACCAAGAGCATGGAGGCTGTTCGTGCACGTGGTCATCTTCTAGGAACTAGGAAGCCACCTCACAGCAGGACCATGCCCGGCTCCTCCTTTTGCAGACTTTACTGAAGTGTTAGCTCTCTGGAAAAGGATCTGCTAGTGGGACCTGGGGCTTTTGTTCCCTGTGCCATACTCCCCCTTCCCCTGGAAGTACTGGATTCAAGATATCCAGTACTCTCCCTTCATGGAGGAGGTTTGAGCTTCATTTCAGGCAGCAGGAGAAGACCTAGCCCTCAGGGGTCAGGGTTCCTTCAAAGGTCAGGGCTCACAGGACTCCTCAGTAGAGAGGGCTGGGCGTGAGCAGGAGCCCCACTGTAGGCTTTGGTATCAGTACAGAGGGTGGGTCCCTTCCCCTCATCTTTTCCCCCTTTGTCCCAGAACTCCGCTCAGACCCAAAGACTCTTCCATTTACCATCAACATGGAAACTTGGCTCTTCACTTGGGTATATTCTCCCTCTTTTGTGCATTATCTTGTTCCTCAAAACTGCCCTTCCGTGAAGGAGGCCTGTAGAGTCAAGGGGCCTGGCCAGACACCCAGAGGTGACTGGGCCCCTCAGACCTCAGTTGGTTGGGTAGACCAACTTAATAAAGGTTTTGTGTCCTTGACTGCTGGGACTTGTGATTGGTGTCCTGAATCAGAAGACTGAATAGTCCTTTTCTTTCCATCCAAAACCAGTGGACAGTGTTCGTGCCACAGAGAAGGGGGCAATGAGGGAAGGCAGGGAGGGCTATTAATAAAGGGTATCCCTGGCTCTCTCCACCTCCCTCTTTAAACAATGCTTGTTACTATGAAAGACCAGACACCAGTTGGTTTGCTAGACACCTGGCAGGTTTTTCTTTGAGCATCTGCCTTGTGATAAGGCAAGAACCAAAGGAACAAATTTCTCCATTGGAATGTCAGGTCACTAGGAAGGATGTAAAAGGGGGTAAATAGTGATTCATACTGAGGTCCTGGAATTTAATTACTTTTTTTTGACTTAGTTCTCCTAGTCCTTAATTAAGGATAAAGGGAGAATTAATAAGGAAGCAATTCCTGGTGGGACAAGGTTGTTGATCGAAGAGTACAGGTACCCCATCAGTGGGCCTGTGCTGTGCACCTGGCAGGTGGTGGGCAACTTTCCTGGGTCTCACAGTTGGTAATGAAAGTCCTCTCAGAAAACAAAGTATTCACTCACTGGGGCTTCAGAGGTTGCCCAGTGCCCTTCCCCCCTCTTCCTTTCTTGTTTTACCTGTGTGCCATGAAGACCAGAGCTGATTTGGCAAGAGAACAGATCTCCCTAAGACTCCCCACCTTGGGGGCCCTTGCTCTGTATTTTTCCACTCCAGTGAGGACCATGGAATATTCTGGGAGTTTTCTGTAATGACTCTGGGGTCTCCTACGGAGCAGGAATGGTACAAAGCTAGAGCCACAGTCTTCAAGCATGGAGCTCATTGGAGCATAGGGAATGAGTAACTGTGTTCTCTACCTTGGGGGACTTATAAATTAAAAGTATAGAATCAATTGTAATCAGAATAATACCACTTGACAGGGATATTGATGAGCAGAGGAGAGTTTATTTGGAGATCTCTGATCTTTCCAGCCCTGAGACTCTGGGCTTAATACCCATATAATAATCATTAGTGTTCTGTAATTTATAACAGTGTTATCATTGATCCAGGTCATTAATCATCATGAATTGGTGACTTCTCAAATGTTATGGGTTATTTGAGTAGCTATGAAGAGCTCTGTGATTTACAAACCAGGGGTTCCTTGGAGGTAGAGGGATACCATGGCCATTTTACAGATGAGGATACTGAAAACAGGAAAAAGATTCAGCTCCCTTGAAGGAGAGGGTCTGCAGTGCACTTGACCTGTTGGGCCTACTGGCTTATTCCTCCTACCCCCACATTTTAGAAAACAAAAGCAAAAAAAAGCAAATAGGGACTTGGGGCTTGTTTAATCCTCAGTTTTTCAGGATGTTTAAGGCCTTTGGGGAAGTCTTCTCTTTCTCACAGGCACTACTAGGACAGGCACAGAGAAGTCATTAAATATTTGTTCAATAGAGCTCTCCATGTCTTCCAAATTTTAATGTTATATTTTCATTTTTAACTCACATGATTCCTTCCAGGTGATTCACGGGGAGTCCTTCACTGTTCTTAGGTAAACTTGGGACAACTCCAATTATCAGGTGACTAATTACCCAGCTCTTCCCTGGGTAATTATATGACCCGCAGCAAGTTGTATCCTTTCCGTGTCTCAGTTTTCTCAGTGGTAAAATGGGTCTTCTAACCCTTGTGTCATAATCCTTGTAGGATTATGAGTAATAGCACATGAAGTATGCAAGATGCTTACTGCACTGTACAGAAAAATCACATGAGTTCCTCTTCCCTGCTTGGACAGCCCTTTGTATAATGGACTCTTCAACAAAGAGCTTTACTATTCATGGTGCCTCACAACCAAGAGAGGAGAGTCCTAAGTCTCCCCTTCCCTAGCTGCTTTATGGCCAACCCAGATTCCACAAAACTTTCTGAAAGACATCTACTCTTCTGTGCAACAGCTCTCAATAAATTTACCCTGGAATAATCTGGAAGGTCAGGGGCTCATCACCCTCAGTCACTCTCCACTCATGTGGTGTCCAGTCATGCCTTCATGAAGACCTAGAAGAGACAAGTGGATTTAATGGTGGGGCCATGCCCTAGAGCCTCCAGTATTCATGGAGAAGCCAGCCCTTTCTTCCTTTACTAAACCTTGATGTCCAGGTAGAGACACAGCCATGATTTCCCAATGAGCGTCTCTTCTTATACGGGGTCGGGAGTCTTTGCCTTCCCACAGGGAAGAAGAAGAGCCTCAAGACATATACAGTACAAACACCCAAATCCTGAAAACGACCTTGGTTTCTTGGTGGACCCGCTTGTCTCCTGGCTTCACTATGTAGAGGGCCCACAAGGATGCTCCAGATGGAGCCCCATTGCAGGCCTCTGCTCTCTTGACCTCTTCTGGATATAGATGGCAGTTGGGCTAGACCTATACCCTGGATTCACACAGCTGTCTCTTCCCAATTGTTCCTCTGATTCTACCTCTTACCTCTTCCCTACTCATGCTTGCCTGATCCCTCTCACCTCCCCCCTTCTTAACCAACAGTAGACCATGGTCTCTGACCCTGTTCCAGCTGACCTGGCACTGAAGGGCTGAGAGAGCCTTATGCCCATGGGGAATTCCTGGCAGAGTCACCCTTTTCAGCCCTATGCTACAGCTATCCAGGGCCCCATATCCTTTTTCACCTCTTCCAGGCTTGATTGTCCTTCCGCCATGTGGAGATTTTCTTTCTTTCTTCCGGTTGCCCTCTGGGCCTTACTTGTATTTTGCTGTAGCAGTACAGCCATCACTGCAGTGGCTGGGGGCAGTGGGGGGGCATATGGGGGTTGGGAGTGATGGGAACACATGTTCTGGGGTCTGAAGATTTCATTTGAGACCATCTTCTGCTCCATAAACTCTATAAGAACTTGGAAAACACAACTTGCTTTCTCACTGGTGGCAGCATTTAGGTCATTCCAGAGCCCAGTTGTTAGACTTTGGTTATTATGCCAGACTGAGGATAAAGGGTGAGGATAAAGGGTGAGCAGGGATCAGGGAAATGATAAGCAAGGGAGCCCAGGGTGCACTCGGGGATTTTCCAGGTCCTCCTTGCTGCTACTGGGACTGTAGATCTCGCAACATGAAGGAGCATCAGGGACTGCAGAGGCTACCATGTGCTTTATGCCCCTTTCTGGCCTCCTCTCTTTTCTCAGTGTCATGGAGACCAACAGTGATTTGGCAAGGGAGCAGCGTCCTCCCCCATGGAGATTTTCTCAGCCAAGGTCCTGGCTCTGTACCTAGTTTCCCATCATGATTTTGGCCACAGCACTTTGAGAGCGGCTTTTTGTCTGGCCTCTAGATTTCTTGTGAAGGCAGGA